AGCCTCAGCAGCACAGCACCCCTTACTGCCACTACTGAATTACTGTCTTGAACCTCCAGGGCCATCTTCTGCTGCACCTTCCACTTATGGGGAGTCACTTACTACACCCACCTCCCCCCTCTTTCAAACTCATCTTAAATCATATATATATATATATTTCAGAAACTCTGGTGTGAACCTGACACGGTGATAATTTTAAAAGCTGTGCTGCTCATGTCAAATTATTCAACATCTGTCTTCATGTTCCCACAAAAATTAGCATAGGATGGTGGTTTCTGATGACACCTATAGTGAAATATTTTGACTTCACCCAGCAAGTTGCAAACAACCTGTCAAGAGGATAATGTCAGTTTTCTAGTACCGCATATTAAAGTCAATTGAGGGCTTATCTGGTGTGTGAAGCTACTGACCTGACCTAAAACCAGAGGCTCTAGTGTCACAGAAGAGTGAATGTGACACATTACAACTGAAGAACAGCAAGGTATTCTGAAGCTGGAGAGATTTAATGCCTTGACATATAAGAGCCGATCAAGAACTATGCAAATCTTGAACCAACCCAGTCCATTGGTGAAACTAGTCCTATGGCACTCCAGTTAGAAAACTCATTCCTCAAAGGACTATACAGCCTAGGCCAACACAGATTTAAGAGCTGGACAGCAAAGAGAAATTACTGAGCACAAAGGATGTGTGTACATCCATGTATATATGTGTACACACACACACACACACACACAAACACACATATTTAGTTTTGAGGGCCACTGTGCTCAAGTACTGCCAAGAAGTGGCTCACAGGAGCCAGCTTCATCATTCCTTTAGCTAGCAATCTCTTCAGCCATTTCTGAAGACACAGGGTACACTGAGATGACAGCAAGGTACTTGAAGAGCTCCATGTCTTGGCCCCCTGATACTGCTGGCAAAATAGTTCTAGGCATAGGCATGAGAGGGATGGATTCAGATCAGCAGGCTCCAGGTGACATTAGAGTGTCTGTGCCCCTGTCAGCAGAAGATATGGATGCATATAGGTTGCATATCCAACCTATATGCATATGGGTGTGAGGAGGGTGTGAGGCAGTCTACATGAAAAAAACTCTAGGAAAAGTGGTTTTTTTTTTACTTAAAAAACAAAAAACAACCTAACAAAAACAAACAAACAAACAAAAAACCTCAAAACAAACACAAAAAACGGGCAAAAGGAGCAGGAAACAAATCATGTCATGTGTACATGAAATGAAAAAGTGTGGATGTTTATAGCCTAAACACCGGATATGTTTTACTATGACACTCCTCCATCACAGACACAAGAAAACAGCCTTCCACTAGTTTGGGGTGTTTTTTTTTTGTTGTTGTCTGTAGTGGCATCTCAGGGATGATTCAATGTGATGGTGTCTCTTAAAACAAAGAGTCTTTACAGGTCATTTATTCCCCACTTGCAAGGCCCGGGCAGGACCACCCAATGCTCCAAGTGCTTCACCCTGCCAGTTTCAAGTGCAGCCCATCCAGTCCCTCTGATCATGGTGCCAGGCAGCTTTCCTGGCTGCCCAGCCCAAACATTTCCATCACCCTCACCACACACAGTGATGCCCATTCCTGCAATGTCTTTTCTGCAGTTGAATCAGGAGAGGCAGGGAACAAAACATCTCACTTTCTTATTCTGCCCGAAAGGCTGCTGCTGATCATTGGGACTGTGCTAATTGCAAGACAACCCAGAAATGTTAATTATACAGTGCACATGGAGCAAGCACAGCAGCAGCACTGTGCACACCAAACCAGAGCTACCCAAGTCCTGGAATCCAGAAAGCAGAGTAGGAGTAAAGAGGCATGCTTTTCCCTTTGAATGCCACCACCACGCCCCAATCCTCCCCTCTCAGTCTAAAACTTACAGTCTTTAAATGTTGATAACTACAAGCCTTGAAGGGCAAGTCCCCTGTCTCCTTACCTCTTCCTTCCTCCTCCTCAATTCTGACATTTTCTAGAGATCTATTATAGTTGGCTTCTCATCTTGACCAGCAGCATTAACACACCAGGACTGAAAAGCACATGCAGTCTGGGAAATAGGCTACCACAAAAGGCTGATAAAAGTTGCCTCTTGGCAGCCTGCTGAATTGCCTTCCCCATCAGGCCAGCCTTGTCTCACTGCAACAAACAAGGCTGAAAGAATGGGATCAGCTAATGAGAAGAGGGTTTCAGACACACTTCAGTCATTACAACAAATGCCAATTTATATAACAAGCCTCTTCAGGTAGTAGGCAAAAAGCACCTTGACTCCTAATTAAATTGCACCTCAATTGCAAATGCTTCTTTCCCAGAACCCCCCTTATCCACATTTTATTTATACCATTCATCTCAATAAACCTCTCCAACGACTCTGCTCTCCCAGACAGAGGTCTTTTGTGCACATCCATGTGGGTGTATTATTTAAAGGGTACATCACATGGATACTTTATCTTGTTTAATCTGATTTAATCTCAGGAGATTTGCTAAAGTAAAATATATTTATAGACCCATACAGATGCCTTCCCCAGTCTCCACTGCCAATATGCAAAGGCAGGAAAAGAGATCTGAACCGTGACACATGAGTGCCCATAATTTTTACATTAGGTGCCACATGAGATTGACATTCACAACACAGAATGCTGAAGTACAGCTTGAAGCTATGGCAAGAGACCAATACAGAGGAAAAACCCAAGTGGAGGGGGGGGCAGTGGGACTAATTTCTAACCCTGCTTTTTATTTATCCTTACACATATAACAATATTAATCCAGCTCTGCTTGAGCCATCAGTAACAGCAACCTCACATCCAAAGAAACAGTGCTGGCTGCAGAAGGCATGAAATCAGCCCAGGGTAGTGGACTGAAGGCAGAATTGGTAAGGACAATATGAAAACTATTAGTCACCGTCCAAGTTTGCAGCGTGCTGATTCCACGAGACACTGCTCTGGGCTGCACTCAGCGACAACTGCCTATTAAGGCTCCTGTTGTTCGATAGTTTGAAGAGGTAGGGGTGGAAAGAGGAAGGAAGACACTAGATTTCCCCTTTGTGTAGTTAAGTAAGAGAACAGATAGAAGTAGTGGACGATTTTGGCTTAAAAGGATGCCTTCATCTTAGTGTATGTGTGCATCTGTGCTTTCTTTTGTACACAGCGTCTTCAATCTCTCTCTGAGAGAAAAAGACAAAAACATCAGTAAGTTATTCTGAAGATCTAATAGCAGCAACTCTGTCAAATGCAAGTTCACTGAAGTGTATGAAAAAATACAACAGGCTACCCTCTAAAGCACATTCAAGCAAACCTGGTTTTAAGCTCTGTCCCTCTTGCTACAATTCTAAGCAGTGAGTCCATTCTACAGCAACTGACAGCTAGCTATTCAGCAGCAAAAACACTGAAGTGAAACAATAAAAGTTCAGCTAGAAGCAGATCACCTGTTTTAAAAGATTAAATTATATGCCCTGACCAGGTTTCTGTACCACAAACTCATTCTACTACTCATCCTTCCAGCCTTTCAAGGGTCATACAATTTTCGTCTGGATATGCAGACTGTGAGAAAGCACATAGACTGAGAAGAAGAAAGAAAAAAATAAAGGAAGCTAAACACCCTCTGTTTAAAACGGTTATTTTACAGAACAGACCCAAACTCAAATTAACATCCCAATCCTCAAGGAGAAAGGAGGAATTGTTTCCATTAAAGAAATACATCATTAAAAAGTGACCTACAAAGACTTACCCATAGTCAGTGAGACTGAACTGATCTTTGCCAGAGCTCACACAAGAGACTGGCTGCGTGCTGTTAAAAAAGAGGGAGAGGGGGGGCTGGACTCTCTCACTGGGGTCTCTCTTCAGAGCTCAGAGAGCTTGGCTTGTTAGAGGCAGTGGCATGCCTTCCAGAAGGACTTAACAGCAACGCACAACTGAGTTGTAAGCCAAGATAAAGCCGGCTTGTTATGAGAGACAAGTCTTGTGGGTTGCTTTTATTTATTTTTTCCCAGTGTATTGGAAATGCAGATCTTGTAAAGCAAGAATTCAGAGGGGGCTGGGAGAGGGAAAGGGGGGCTGCACGTCTGGCTAAAGTAAACCCCGGGTGTTCTCTCAGCCCGGGGCTTGTGCTCGGCAGCACGGGGTGGCATCCCCCGCCTCTGCCCTCGCACTGGGGGGCTGCGGAAGCCAGACCTCTCATGAGGAGACCACCCGAGCTCGCCATTTGCCACCCTGCCTGCAAACAAGGAGAGGAAGTAAGCTCCGTAAATGCAAAAATAATAATATTAAAAAAGGAAAAAAAAATAAAATCAAGCAGCTCGGCATCATCTCTGCCACAGACCACCACCCACCCATCTCCATCACCTTAAGAAGAAAATCAGCCGCGAAGTTCCACAGGGCAAAACCAGCCTCGCCTCGCCCCCCCGGGCAGCCCGGCGGGGCTGGCCGTGGGGAGCCGAGCCGGGCGGAGCCGTGCCGGGTGGAGCCGTGCCGGCGGCGGGAGCGGGCAGCCCCCGGCACGCAGGGAGAGACCGGGCAGCCCGCACGCCCTTCTCTTCTCCCCGCTTCCCCGTGCCGGTGGTCCTGAGAGCAAGGAAACCCGCAAGCGCATCGCCGAGAAGGGATCCTCCGTCCTCCCCCCGCCCCAAAGAAAATGCAACTCGGAGGTGCTGCCAGAGCCGCCCCCGCCGACACCAGCGCGGCGTCCCCAGGCGGGGCGGGTGGGGAGCGGGCCGGCAGGGCCGGGGCTCCAGCCGCTCCCCCGGCCGCAGTCCCGCCCGCGGCCCCTCCGCGCCAGCTCGGCGGACTCGGACACGGGAGGCGGCCAGAGGTTACGGCCAGAAATTATGAAGTAGCTACGGGCGCTGGAAGCCCTATTGCTGCGTCAGTCTCTCCGCTCAGGCTGAGCCGAGGTTCGGCGGCATCATTTACTTTCTCCTGCAGGTGCTTTTTAACTTTGATCCCCCCGCCGCCGCCTGCGCCCTCGCCCCCCACCCCTCCGTGGCAAAGAGCGACAGCGTCTCTTACCGTACACCCCTTGTCCCCTGCTGTACACCGGCACCAGAGACAGGAATAAAAAACAGATCATGTCCATCTTCAAGGCAGAGCCTTCATCGCCGGCGAAGAAAAACAGCCAAAACAGCTCAGGCAGCATCCGGCGGGGGAGCAAGGAGCAGCCGAGAGCCTCCTGAAACGCCGCCCCATGCGCCCCGCTCCGCGCCGGGCACCGGCGCCCCTCGGGCGGAGGAAGGGACCCCCACACAGGGGCCACCTGGGGGTAAAATTTAAAATTTAGGGGGAAAAAAAAAAAAAGAAAAAGGAAAAAAAAGAGAGAAAGGAGGGAGAGAGCGAGAGAAGGAGGCAGGGAGGGCAGAAACGCGGAGTACCGCTTCCCGCTTCCCCTCTCCAGGTTGCTCGAGGATCTCCAGGCGAACAGGCAGCCGCACCCGCACTCGGGGTGCGGGGAAAGGCCAGCCCGGGGGCACCGGGCCGGCACCGGGCCGGGCAGGAGCAGGACCCGGGCCAGCCCGGGCTCCTTTGTTCCGCGGGAGCTGCCGAGCGCTGCCCCAAGTCCCGCGCTGCCCGAAGTGCTGCCAACTGGGGCCAACTTGAGTGAGTCCTCACCCTCCCTCCTCCTGACGAGGCTCTGGCCGCAGCCCCTGGAGCGGACGGGGAGAAGGAGAAGGAGGTGGAGAAAAAGGGGGGAAGCGAGGGTGGGGGGTAGGAGCCAGCTGCTGAAAGGCGGAGGAAGGGATAGGTGATTCTCGCTCCTCTTTTTCCAGATCTTCTGAGGAGGGGATTGTTGTAATTAATCAAATCCAGAAGGATTTTTTTTTAAATTTTTTTTTAAGCGGCTCCCAAGAGCTCCCCCAGCTGCACTGCACCGCCCCAACCAGCCTGAAGGGAGAAGCAGCCGAGGAGCAGACAGAACACGCACCCTCGCAGCGCCTGCAGCTCAGCCCGGCTCTCCTCGCCTCCTCCCCAGCCTGCCAGGTCCTTCGCCCGTCAAAACTTTCCCTGATGTTGTGTGCCAGCCTCGGGTGGGTGCGTCGCCTCTGTGCTTGCCTGCTCCGCCCGCCTCGCAGAGGATTTGCAGCTGTCCAGGAGCCCGTGTCTCTGCCCGGGACGGCTGCCGGAGCTCCTGGTGGGAACTAAGGGGCTGCAGCTGGAAGGTAGCCGGCAATGAGGGACAGGAAGACGGACCAAGTTGAGCTACTGCCGTCAGACGCCAGCTGGAAACCGCTTGGGAGGTCTGTACCCCACCGCTGTTTCCTGAAGCGCCACAATCTCCCGCACAAGTTGCCGGGAACGCCGCCGCTGCCCCGGCGGCCCCGGGGCTCCGCGCTCACCGCCCCCGACGGGGCGTCCGGCCCGGCCCTGGATCCTGCCTGCCTGCCGCCTCTGCCGCCGCGCCTGATTTCCTACTCGCTTGGCTTTCCAGGTTTTCCCCCTACCCTCTTCACCATTTCATTACCCTTGGCATAAAAAAAAAAAAAAAAAAAAGCCAATTAAAGCGGGCGTGCCGGGGAGAGCCCTGCCTCCTGCCCAATTCTGCGAGCTTCCCCACGCCTCGCCCCGGCCCAGTCATGGACAGGACCGCAGGAATGGGAGAAAGAGGGACTTGCTTCGGGCGGGAGACCGATTGTCAGTCCGGGGTGCTCTCATCCTCAGGACCCGCGCGGCAAGGTCGGCTTCTCCCGGCTGGGACGTGAGATGCCAAGGGATGGGGGACAGCGCAGGTTTCCGGGGTGTCTCCCGTGCTGGTGCTCGCAGGTGCCAGCAAAGTTTTTGGGCCCCCCCAGGTAGGTGGCAGGCTGGCGGGGCTGCCCTGTGCATGCTGCTGGGGAGCGGCGGGGCGGGGGTGCCGTGCGGGGCCCGGCCCGGCCCTGGCCATGCTCCCACGTGAAACCCGGAGCGGGGAAGCTGTGCATGCTCAGGGCCCGGGAGAGGCCGGGAGGAGGAGGAGGAGGATGCTGAGCGAGCCCCGAGCATCACCAGCGGCAGCGCGGGCCACGCGGGGCCCTGCTTCACCATCCCTGTCTCCGTCTGCTTTGCTAGGGAGATAAAACGCTGCTTCTGGGAAGCCTAGACTGCTCGCCGCCGAGCTGGCGAGCCCACCCGTGCGTGTCCCGGGTCCATAGCGATGAGCCAGACCGTAAAGCGGAGCCAGCGCCGTGGAAACGCTCTCAGCGGCGCGTTCTGCTCCCGGGAGCCGGGCTCCGCTGCCTCAGCCGGGGCTCCCGGGCACGGGCTGATGCGGGTGTCCCTTAGCGACAGCGAGTCCTCTCCGGCTTTTCCTCGGGGCTGGCCCCCCGCCTGGGCCACGCGTGGGCTGGGCGCGCTGCCCCCGGGGGTCCCGGCGCTGCATCCACGCCCGCCGCAGCTGGCCAGGGGTGCGGGAGTTGTCATGTGAACAGGTCACTGCCTGGAGGAAAATGTAATTAAAAAAAAATAAGTCAAAAGATATGGCCCAAAGAGCGGCTGGCTGCTCAGTCCTGCTCTATAACAAACAAGCAATTAATAGATATAGCCCCTAATTAGCAAGTAGTTATTCCTATTGTAAACGGTGCTCAGTCAGAAAGAGAAAAGCACAAGCATGCCCCAGGCAGAGAGCAGCGATACAGGACAGCATCAGCCCAGAGCCCAGCGTCCCCCCAGGGCCCGGCATCCATGCAGGATGCCATGGCAGGCAATTTCCCACTGGACTCTATCACTTATCAGGGTACCACCAGTATAAAACTGCCTTGTTTGTTTTTGTGGTGGTTTAGGATTTTTTTTTCCCCTTTGTATTTCTTTTTGCTACAACTAAGGGAAAATTCGCCAAGAAACTGTTATTTTCACAAACTGTTATTTTCACAAAGGCTCCGTGCCTTTTCCATAGCTGATGGCATAGAGCAGGGCACCTGTGAAAGCACCTGATGTGAGCAAATTTATTCTTTAATACAATAAACCCTTATCTGAGAAGGATTTAATCCTTCCTGCAGTGGGTGGTTGCAATGTTAGTAAAGGGTGCATGGGTAGAAGGAGGCAGCCAGCACCAGAAGGACAGGTGGATCCTCTCCTGGGCATGAGAAGAAGCAGGAGCTGATGATAATGAGACAAAATAAAATTGTCTACATCTCCACAAAGGAGGCTGAAGGCAACCCAAGGAAAACGAGATGAAGAGATGTTTGCAGATCCAGGAAGCTTCGTGGTGATAAAATAAAACTGTGGAGACATGAGTCTTGTTCTTTTCTATGCATAATCTTGAAATAAGGATATTTATGTGGCATTTTGTAGCCCTTCCATTATTTTTTTTCAGGGATTCTCATTAAATGATGGAATAGTTCTCAGTGTTTGAATGAGTATGAATTACGTATCTGACTAATGAGTCAAAAAAATCCAAAAAATGTATGCTTTGCACCCCCTTTTTTTGTGTTACTATTCAATGCACATGCTCATGTTTCACTGGCACAAATGCTTATGAAAGATGAATTTCAAAGTAAACTGCCAAAGTACATTCTGAGTAGGAAAAAATACTGCCAAAACCCAAGAACATAACTGCATTTGCTAAATAAGGTAATTAATAATTATTGCTTGAGGCCTAATAAATCATAGCATTCATAATTATGGCGTTTCCAATGGGTGACAGCAAGGCAGCACTCCCATGCACACTTGCTAAGCAAGCTACTTGTTATGGGGAAACCATACCCTGTAGTGATTCTACTTGTCAGAAAGCAAAGATGAAGGATGCCTTTCCTCCCCCCTGACTGTTTCCATGGAACATATTTGTCCCATCTTTCCATCTGGGAGTCAGTGTCTCCGGTCACTTCTCAAGACCCCACTTGTCAAATGAGTCCTGTCTCTGAAATATTTATACACACTCCATCACCTATATTTCACAGCTCTGTTAAGAGGTAGACAGTCTCTGGGACAGCTGCTGTGTTCAAAGAGAGCAAATCACATAAAGCATGACACCAGGCAGGAAGCGATTGAAGAACCATGTGAGGCCAAGGTCCAGTTGCACGAACATTAATTATCTCTGTGTCAATGTTTTCATGCTGTACTCTGGTGCAGTCTGTCATTTCATTCTTTCCTGGGATGATGTAACTGTCTCTGGACCCCGGTGATCTCTTCAGCTTGTGGCCTGACATTTCTATCACCTCTTTCCTGTTCATTTTCTTCGCAGCAACCCATCCAAGATTGTCTCCAGGATCTATGAAGTTTGATCTCTTCCTCCTCTCCCTCCTTCCACACGAATATGGAAGCTTTACTGCAACATTTCCCTTGCTATGCCTACTGAAAGGGAGTAGAAATAGAAAGTAGGAATACAAAAGGAACATAATGGAGCACCTTAGAGGCAATGGGCAAAGCCAGGGTGACTCCAAATGTTGCAGGAGAAATGAGAGTTGGGAAGGGGAAAGCTGGAGGACTCTAGTGCTGCAGCAGAGGTGTTAGCAGGGAGATGGGAAAACAAGGGGATTCTAACTGCATTGTAGGTCTGCATCAAGGAGCTGAGCATACAGAGTTGTTCCTGTGCTGCTTCTGAGCTGGAGCAGGTTCTGCAGCAGTGTGGAACAGGGCAACTGTCTGACCTGAGGCAGCGAAATCGGGCAGCAAAGGAGCCAAAGAGGGGGAACTGGGAAAGGCTAGGGAAAGCCAGTGTGTGTGAGGAAGGGGAGCCCCCTCAAACTGCTGCAAACAAACTAGACACAGCAGCACCAAGTACTCTGCAACACGCAAACTCCAGGAAGATGAGAAGCTGGGCAAAGCTACAATGACGACAGGATGCAGCTGAGCTACCTGCTGTCCGTTTTCTTTCTGTTTAATTCTTCCCAAGAAAACGGTAAAAAATGCATTAAAAAAAATCCTGGTTTGCCATTCTGAAGTGCTGGAATCAGAATCTCTGTGCAAAAACATTCCCCTGGCCTAGAGCAGTGTTTCCCATTATTCATAACACCAAGCTGGTGCTGCTGCAGTCCTAGATTCTCCTGGGTATCTCCTGCTTTCAGTATGAAGCATGCCAAGATAGGGCTATAAATCCCAAGGGTTCTGCTTTGCTGTCCTCAGTTCTCCTCATCTCCACTCCAGGGAATAGACCTATGCTGTGCTCACTTTCTTCCCAGATGCATTTTACACCACTAGTGGTACCTCTGAGCCTCTTGTATATTCTCTGCATTTTTGATTATCTCTTCTCGGCACAGATAGTGTTTGGTACTGAAAGGAGTGATGGAGAGGGAGTCCATCTCTATTCTTCACCCAAGGTGTTCATCCTACCTGAGCTTCACGGCCCTTCCTCCCTGCACTTCCCAGATGCTGTCAGTCACGGGGCTGTGCCGGGATTTCTGGCAGCTGGTTGCTATTGTATCGGATTCTGCTATTCCAGCCTCCTGCCTTCACCCAGCTGTACTTTGACTCACTTCTCTTTCCTGGTTAAAGCTTATTTGAAAGCCATTGCAATCCCTTGCCCCTGTGATCTCAATGTGTGGCCACTCTTCTTTCCCTAGCTCAAGTGCTCACCCCATGCTCTCCCCGCTTCCCCCCTCCCTGCTTGTGCACTAAACCCAGAGGCTTTTAACACAATATTTGCTACCAATCTCTATGCTTCTTAGCCTATATATCTAGTCTGACAGAGATCCTGCTGGGTTGGATTTTTTTCCTCTTATGCTTTAGGACAGATTTGGGCTGGTATAGGGGCGCAGACAAGTGTCTCAGCATCACTGGGAACATCTTTTCTTGTTTCACCTTTTCTTTGATCTTTTTTCTCTTCTGCCTGCTTCTCCTTCTACATTCATGCTTTCTTCTTCTTTCCCACCCTCCCTTTCATGTGTAAAAAGCAAGTTGAGAAAATGTCAAGCTGGTGCTGGTCAAAGGAACCTGTTCTTCCTTTCTTCCACTTCCTTTTATTGCCTCGGTGCCCTCTCCTAGTCCACATCTCCCAGACTGCGCTGGAGAGGGATACTTTTTCACAAAGAGCAGAGACAAAGGGTTCAAGCATGATTGTCCCGTGTTCATGCCCTCTGCCACTACAACCAAAAGGTGCATCGATTGCAGCTTTTGTCAGTGCCAGGCAGCTGATCCAAAACATGCGATCCCTGCCCTGAGGTGGAGGTGGTGGTGCAGGTGACAGTAAAGGAGCTACTCCTGAAGTAGATGCGTCCATCCAGAGGGCTGTGTTTGAACCAGTTGTCAGCACTCCCAGGAGAAAGTGCTATTTGAATTTCCCCTGAGGGGTCTTAAAAACCACTCACAGCATGGGGACGGTTTATTGGCTCATACAACTCTTGGGTGGCACCTTCCTGTTTAGGCCTTGGTGGAGGCAGCCTTTGGCCACAGACAGCACACCATGTCTCCCTGATGAGAGGAGGAAGCCATCCTGCAGAGTCACTTCTGTGGAAGCACTCAGGTAAGGCTGTGGCTCGCATGTCCTGACACCTCTAGTTGGTGAGAAAACACTCCAGCTGGTGTTCTCACTTCAGCTGCCCAGTGGCCACACTCATTTGTGGGAAGCTGATCCTATCAGCATAGAGTGACTTAAAAT